CACCAACGGGGGGGGGGGGGGGGGGCTGTGTGTGCTCTGTGGGATATCTGGGGGCACACACAACCCCACCCCTCGTTGGGGAAGAGGCATAAAAGGGCAGCTCCCTGGACGATCGAGGCCAGTTGTAGCTCAAGCCATCTTAGGACCCTGGACCCCCTCGTCCCGCTTGTCCTTGTAAGGGCCGGGACGCTGTGAGGGCCAGTGGTGGGACTCTGGGACTCCCGGCTCTACGTCCTTGTAAGGGCAAGTTCCGAGGAAGCCAGAGTCCAGACCCGCACCTTGGCTCGGTCGGGTCAGAATAATCCTCCCCTAGGGTAATTGTAGCCGGAGGACCCAGAGCGTAGCCAGAGTAGTGTATCTAGGCTGTGTACCTAGGCTGTGTACCTAGACTGTAACAGAGTATCAGGACTGTCGGAGTGTTGTATTGTAATAAAGAAGTTACCTCTACAAGTGTCTCCGGAACCCATGATCAAAATTAAAGAAAGTGTCGGTGCATCCACAACTGAACATCAGCAAGACAACATGATAGTATTGATAAAGATCGTAATGATAGGTGACAATAAATATACGAGAGTGGGTACGAAAATAACTTAATCTCTCATTAAATCTAACCTCAAAAATGTTGAAACCTGCATGAAAAATGCACGCATCCTTGATAAATACCCATGGTTTTCGTGGTTACACAGTCTCCATCATATCAACACACGTTTGATGTCATTTAACGAGGGCGTGTATGCCGACACATGTACAAGTCCTTTCAGCAATCACTTCACCGTTTTTCGACTGCCTCCTTCACGTCATTGTCATCTGAAAAGTACTGCTCATACAATGACTGCATCATTCAGTTTGGCCAAAGAGCTGGTAGCAAGAGAGTACAACGCCTGGGCTGCTCGGGGGATGGGGCAACATAGACCATCCAAACGATGTGGTTGCAGCAATGGTCGTGCGCTGGCAAGGGTGTGGGTTTTGCTTTGTCAAGCAGAGGTGGAAGTAACAAAAAAAACATCCATTGGAAATAAATTACATGGAATTTCAATGGAACAAACATCCTTTAAATTAGATATAAAAAAACGGAATTCCCCCCCCCCCAGGATTTTATTCCAATGATAGTTTTATTTAGTTTTTAATTAAGTGTTATTTTATTAAATGGCACTTAATTTATTATTCAATTTTCATTACTTCCACATGCCTTGATGGGGACTCGCTCTCTATATGGGTCGTTTCAGTTCATTTAATGTCTCAGTGTTTAGAAATAACTCAAGAATTAATTGTGGGACCCTTTGGTAAAAATCAACAACCAGAATACCTGTCTCCAGAACGCAGTGACCATGCCGTTTACAATTGACGGTTCTTTTTTATGAGGACCATTTATGGTGCAACTCCGTTTATTGACGCTTGATTTCTGTTTTGAAATGGTGCACTCATGTCTCGTCTCCTGTGACTATGTCCAAGAGAAACGCTTCATCTTAAAAACGATTCAGTAGTTATTACAGCATTATGCTTGTTCACCCAGGAAAGCCTTACTGAATCTCAATTTTTTTCAGGAGGGTCCTGTCAAGTTTTCACAGTCAAGGGGATGTTGCTATGTGTGATCACATTTGAGTCAGTTGCACTGAAAATATTTGCTTCCTTCTCACTCAACCACCCTTCAGAAAAGTATATGGATGAGCAGGGTATTTTAATCCGTCCATTTTGCGGGCCATTCCCTGATTGGGTCAAACAATCCACGCCTGAAAATGTCAACTTGTCAACTTATTTTACTGCCAGATGTTTGGCTTGATCCGTACTATAGTTCCAGAACCTTCAGCGCATAATGCAATGACACAAAGGCTTGGTACAGGACCGAAATGTCTCTCATGGTAGCACAAACTTAGCCTAAGGGCACAGTTACATTTGCATTAAGTTTATGTTGGGACGATCCAAGCCCAAGCATGTTTTATGGAGATATTGGCTTGTGGTTGGATAATGTGCTTGAATAATTTAGTTTCACTGCTATCTGTAGTTATGGATTAATGCAACTCATTTTAATTATGGGAATAAGATAGATTTATATGAAAGTAGAACCTATGGGGCAATCTTCATGGGATTGGTGCACTCTTTATCCTGCATCCACTGACATGTGAAAGTGAGGTCATGTGTTTGACCCCCCACTATGGACGTTCAGCCTAAACAGCCCAGTGAAAGCAGCTTTGGTTTTTATAAACGTGGTGTCGACTCGGTACAACGTGTCAACCATAACAATAAATTACTACCAATTATATGTACTGTATTGAGACAGAGATTATGGCATTATTAGTCTCATAATTGAATGAATGCAAAGTCTTTACTGCAGTCACTTTGTTAGCAACATTATTTTACGGCTAATACAAAAATTACGCAAAAAATGTAACAACGAAGAAATACTGAATTTATGCAAAGACTGTCAAGGTTATGACATGATAGGCTAACGTGAAAGGGGTTGCTGTTGCACAGATGGGGTTTAAATGGATCAGTGCCTTTGAGTTTTTAGTTATTTTAGTATTAAAGTGCTATTATATACTAGCCTTTTGCCCGTCCTAGGACGGGAAGCTGTAATATTTACGTAAAGAAACGTCTGCGTAGAGTTATGTATTTTAGTAACTTTCAATAAAGAAACGTCCAATTTAAAGCAAATTTGCGTAAAAAAATGTCTTGCTTGTGATAGTAATGCCGGGGGGGGCTCTATTTACGGTAACGTCACGTACGGATGTAGCACTGTGCTCCGTAGATTTATTTTTGACCGTCACTTTCTGTAAAGAAACGTCATATTTTAAGCGACTTTGCGAAAATAATCTTTCCACTCGACCTTCTTCCGCGGAGTATAAAAATCCACCCGCTCATGATTATTTTATTATTAATGACGGGGGGGGGGGGGGGGTGCGGCATGTGGAGTGACGTCACTCGCGTTATACACATTTCTGGGCTATTATAGTAGTAATTTCTATGGGAAAAGCTTCGTTCAGCAGTAGATAGATCATGGACGATGATGCCTTAAAATCAAATCCTTCATCACGAAAATAATAAAGAAAAGCGGATGTAATAGACCTAGGAGACGATAGAGAACACTTGATATCAATGATGATAACCCTAAAATAATGAAGTCGATGCTGGGGTGTACAAAGCTGACGTGATCGCTCCACTAACAGGAAAACAAAATACTTTTGCATATAACTGTCGCCGATATATTCATGAAAACAAGACTATTCTCCGGACTGCCATCCAGTAAGAAAACTTCCCTGTCTGTGAATTAATATGAGTGTCTTGTTTAGTTATGTAACAATCCTGGTTCTGCAACGAGCTGATCCATTCTAATTTCATTACTAAATTAAAGACAAGCCACAGTGCGATTATGGTCATGAAACCAAAACTATATAGATCGTTTAGTAAACCCCTTTAATCTGCGTTCTGTCAATGGAAGAATATAAAAACGACACGAACTCTCTCCTGAAGCTCTCTGGTGGCTAGCAGACCTCGACAATGGTATTTAGTTCGTGAACATAGTCATACACAAAAATAAAATTACATTCATGTGTAATTAACGCCAAACATTTACAAATGTGGATATTAAAAGACTTACTGAAAATTAACAAAAAAATGTAAATGTAATAACACTTCAAAAATCTACGTTACAATTCATTTTCTCATCACCATGAAGCAGAAACGGAAAGCTCCAGGTTCGCTGGATGTGGAAAGTTCAAGAGATTAATGAGAAAATAGATATTTACGCAATTAATTGGTATGTGGAAGGCTGAAGAAGTAATTTACATGCATGTAGTGTGAACCCAGAACGCCGTATCTGTATTGTGCACAGTTTAATGAGCACACGAACAGTGTTGACGATGCATTTGTTTTATTCATAGGTTGAAAGAATGTTCTGGTAGCTTTCTGCCATGACGAATTAGAGCGCTGAAAGTGTTTGCTGTCATTGCAAAGTAATCTTCTAGAAGGCACAATTGAATCGTACTTCCTTAAATGAGCAACATTCACATGATGCTTATTAATTCATTTGGTCTTTTTTCTGGAATCGTCATGCCTAGGCGTAATGTATTCAATATTCAATACATACATCAACCCTTTTTCTTACTCAATAAGTTTACTATTTATTTAGCGAATGCTTTTGCACGTGACTGTCATATGGTTACAGCGTCAGATATGCATGAAAAATTAATGTTTGTCAATGTTATATGTGAGTGGACTCAGCTCACGAAGCCACAGAGCCATGTGAAAGCCTCCTCTTTTAGCACGTGAAGGACAGCCAGTCCATCCAGCACGCCCTGACCGACTTCACAGCTGGAGACGATGTGTGCATCAATGAACTGACTCGCATACGCACCGAGGAAACAGGTTATTCTTAATCTTACACATCCTCCCATTATTTAACCATACTTCACCATCACCCTGGTTGTGCGGGTTGGTTGGTAAAAGCATGAGGCATGGACATGGGAGCAGAAAATAAAATAAAACAATTGATTTTGCCATGAGATGGCAGTATCACAAAGGACTGAATCCATAAAAGCAGAGCTTTGGGTGTAATATCTTTATTATGCGTAATGGGTTTTCTCCATGATCTCCCATTTTCTATCCCATGTCAAAAATTCATTATACAATTTCTCAAACATTTTCTATTAAGGGACCCTTCCTCACGTGAGCAGAAAGTTACTTAGGTTTTCTTAAACAGTACATAATTACATAAACACACATGAGTAATCGGTGTTTTGACATTGGGAGTTAAGGAAGAGCTTAGCATACACAAGCGTCAGGCGAGGTGCACCTTGAGGCCATGTGAAGCATCGAAGGATCGCTGGGTTGAATATTCGAGAAGAGTGGCAGATGCACCACCTGGGCTCCAAGATGTGTCACCTCTCCCAGCCACATGTAAACAGGCACATGTACCACCCCAACCCCACGACCGCCCCACCCCTCCCCAGCCCCACGCACCTGGAGAGCCCCACCCTCACCTGGGTGCTCGCATATAAAAGTGCGCGCATCGCTGCGATCCTCACATCAGCGGCTCCAGATTCGACCTTCCAGTTGCTCACGGATCACCAACGACTTCAGCCATGGTAGGGAATACACTCATTGCAGCATCACGACAGTCAAAGATGCCTGGCATTGCCTTTCACACACTGTTACTGCACGTTTTGTTCGTGAGCACCTATTAAATAGTAAAATATGACATATTCGTATGAAAAACGTATTCTGTATATTTTGCGTGCAGAGACAAACACGTTCTCAATGATAACGCTACTATTTTTGCGTTACTTATTAAGGTTGTTAAACGATTAACCATGAATTTTTTAAAACGGCTTTGGACGCTGTTATCCATACCAAAGCGATGGAATCGATAATCAAATCCAGTGCAGACGAACGTGGAAGACTTTTTCCAATTGTTAATGGCATGTTGATTATTTGTATCTTCATAAGCCACTGTCAACCTACAAGATAAGATAAGGAGCGCTGCAGCTCATGGCTCCAGACATTCCACTGTATTCTGAAGTATTCTGAAATAAATATACCTCTGTTAGTCTTTCCAATAACATACTCAAACGTTGACTTGACGCAATGACCAATATGCAGTGTTGCAGCTCTGTATGATAAAATAATGTTAAGATTCTGAAAGTGTTGTTTGTGATTTGTTTTGAAAAACAGGACTGGGAATCATTGGCGCACGCTAATTTCGAAGCAATTGACATGGTGAGTTAAAGCAGTTGCATCTGTATCCTCTTCCTGCATCTCATTACACCTATGCACTTTGTCCACCTATCTCGTCTTGCTACATCTTATATTTCACTTGTCTATATATCGTGTTATCTTACTTAGGAGTTTACGAATTGAAAGGGAGGGCACGTAAAGATATGTTCTGCTTAGAGTCCCCAATTGGCTAGCACATCTGCTCTTATGTGCCGTGTTTAGCTCTGCTGCTCTATAAGCATTAACGACTGAAGCTACTCACTCTACTCGTGCCCAAGCCGTGGCATCTAGCCACGAGATGGATGTCTCAGTTCATCTCCCTCGTGTTTACCTGAGGCAGTTGAAATGCAGCCTTAAAGAGGTGCGATTTCCACACAGCAAGTTCATACTTCCTGTTGCGTATCGCTAGGGCATGGCCCTCACAAGTCAGTAAGACCCTTCAGCTACTGTGAGACTTGTACCCCTGATCAGTGCCAGCACTCACCTCTGCACCAGCTGATATAATGATGATCATGAGACTCATTATTCATGCCCAAAGTCTCACGTCGTCTCAAGATGATTCCAGCAGGCTCCTCCATTGCCGTGATTGACTAATTCCGTTTATGAGTGGTACATGTACAAGCCTTAAGTCAGTCCACTGCTGGATGAGATCCTCCTCATGCCTTGTGGATTGTGGGTTATCTGACCATACTTCACCACACTGATAATTTTGAGTTGAAGGTGGTGAGCGTAGACACGGGGACATTAAGGTAAAAACGCCATCACTCACAGTTCTGCGATATACCAATCCACCAATGAACAGCACACAAGCTAATTTCATCACTGACATATCCGTGGTAGATCACAGACACGTTTTCTCCCTTGGATGTGAATCTGTTGCTAGTCTTGATCACGAGCCACCTTCCCATTAATTAGCACCAGCACTCACAAAGCTGCCATTAACGAGCAAGGCAATGTTTCCTCCTCATTCTGTGGAAACAGGACAACGACGGCTTCATTTCGTATGCCGACTACCATGACTTCTTGGAAATGAACGGTGTGGATCAAGACTGCACCAGTGTGGACAAAAACAAAGATGGCAAGATCTCTTTCGAAGGTGTGTGGCCATGGTCTACGGAAGATCGTGGCACAGGGCTGTTACCTTGTTTAAAAGGGGCATACACAAACTCAGGAGGACATGATATAGAACAAGCCAAGGGAAAGACATTTATGTATGAACAATGATGACACGTATTTACATAGAACATCTTCCATGCTCTCTCTTGAACTGGAATGTCTTCCCAATAACGTTCATTCTTGTTTCACTTGTGGGAGGAAATTGGAGTACCCAGCGAAATCACGCATACAAGAGAACAGCAGTGAAATTTGCACAGACGTATATTTGAGAATCCATTGCTCTACTACCATCTCCCGGAAACCTATAGTTAGGAAATTCATCACATTGTTATTTACATTCCAGTGAAAATTTTCTTTATTCTCATGTGACATTCAGCACATAACCACAGCATTATAAGGAAATTCAAGGTCGAATTATGGTTATTTTACAAATGGTGTAACAAGGTCGGATAAGAGATCATGTGAACATCTAGTTACGCCTTGCACAAATAGGTTGCTGGACCAAAACAAAGTACAAACTGCTTGAAACATTACGGACTCCTATACTCTACTTTAGGAGTACGCGAATGTGTGTAACATTTTCAGTACATTCAGGTCGGGTGGGGTTATTCACACAAACGGGTGGGCATCGATCAGTGATGGGCACTTCCTGTAATAATTGTTGTGTATATGCGGCTAACCTATTTCTTCCCAGAATTTGCGATATGCGGTTTGAAATCACTTATATGCGGCTAAATGGTTGGACATGCGACCTTCTGTGGTCCATCTGCGCTGCTCGACAAGCAGCTGCCTCGTATGGCGCTTTGTGGGTTACGTGACTCTGCGGTCTCCGCTACGCCATTTTGCTTTGTCCACCCTCATTTGGAACACATCTACCTCAGAAAGCGAGGGAACCCTCTACGTATGCCATCCATTTGAAGTTACATTTCTCTCCCATGCCAGAGTTCTCTGAATTCTACAAGAAGGACTCTGACCAGCAGAAGGAGAAGCTGAAGCTGAAAAAGTGAACTCCAAGGACATGGCTGCGGGTGAAAGGGTTGCTCTTAGTTTGTTAGACTTCCACTGCTTGCTTCTTAATCATCATGACCAGTGTCAACTCTACCACTAAGTATTAGGCATATTAATGATGTATTGATTCATTCAAATTAATTTGTACTCTCTCATCCATGCCACCAATCGGTCGTGCAAGAATCAGTCATTTAAGTGTTATTGCATATTGTATGCAAACATTACCTTCATGCTGAGCAAATGAAATTGTGACATGTCACCGAATCATAGACAGTAATCTTGACATGCCTAATAAACAAGGTACTGCTGCTATTCACAGCTATTACTACTATACCTGACACTACTGCTAATTAGCACTACCACTAAGGCTCCATTGAAATGTACATTTAGTAAAAAGGCATTTCAATATTTCAAATGTACTGTGCTGCACGACATACTGGCACCATTATTGCAAATGGCACAATGACACAAACTCCAAAGAGGCATAATGCATCAATCCACTATGAAATAAACACCGTGTGCATTGGCTCAGTGCAGTACACGTACTCACAAAACCAGTAACAAATCACTCTTGAAAACTAATTACAAAATGCTGGACGTGGCTTGGTAACCTGAAGAGCAGCAGTGTACAGAATGCTAACCCGGTTCTGTCAGCAAATACAGCCCAGCGCTCTTGAGGGGGTGTCCCATGTGCAATGATTACAGAGAAATTAACGCTGAATTAGGTTTTTCATGTGCATTGAAATAAACCCTCCCTTGCTAAAATTAAATCTGACTATCCCTTGTTCATGTGTCTACGTGAGTGTGTGTGTAAGCATGCGTTTGCCTGTTTGTTGTCGTGCAGCGGTTAGCACGCTGGGCTATGAACCCGGATCTCCGAGTTCGATTCCCGCTCACGACCAACATAAGTGACGATTAAGTAAATCGGTCCAGGGCCTCACCTAGGTCGAATCAGCCTCAAATGAGTACCTGATGCAATGTGTAAACATCGCTACTGAGGAGACAAAGGCAGCCGGGCGTGGTGCTTGCCACCAACCCCCTCGTGTGCCTTGCCGGCCTTCATAGGCGCTCGCTAACAGAACTTGCCCCAACAGTCTGTTTACACTATATGAGGCATCTTTGTCTTTCTACATCTACGTGCGCGCGCTCGTTTCGGTCCAGCTTCTATACATATAGGGTCGCACACACGACGGTTATCCTCAGCAGGGGTCTTTGGGAAACAATTGAGATAAACAGACACTGTCCCCTTCATATATTCGTTACACAAGCCATCAGCGCCACGGCGTTCTGGGAGTGTAGTAATTTTAGTAGCATTGACTGCAGCAAAGTAGAGTCAAGCTTGCCTGAATCAATACTGGTGGACTTCAATATGTTCTCGGAAAGTACCCTATCTTTAAGGTATGGGTCCAATTAAGATATGGGTATTAATTACTCATGGACCCAGTGTTGCAACTACCTATTTCAACGGGGATATGCAAGATACTTGTGGGCCCCCTCCTTTATCCTGACTCATTTTAACTCAAATAGCTACGAATGTTTTAAACCCAAATACAATAATATCTAGGCTATAATATTAATTATTATAGTTGCACCGTGTATTTAGTTTAGAGGAAGACATTCTCACAGTGACAGCATTAATACAAAGGTTTCAAAGTACAATACTCACCATTAAGTGTTCATGCATCTTGCTTTCATGCACAGGTCCGTTGGTAAAAAAAAAACCTGCTGTTCAGTAACAAACACCAGGAGCGCGACTGTGGTGCCACGACCGCGGAGCAACTCCACAAGCGCCGCAACTCCCTCCCGGCCCCCGCACTAAACACACACCCGCACGCAGCGCACCCACGCAGTGTCCTGGCAGGGGGTTGCCTGGCTCATCCGGTTTTAATCCGAAGGGCCCCTAGGGGGAGAGTCCCATGGTTTCCCGGTGCCAGGAGATTGACCGACCCCCACAGGACAGGTTCCATTACGGTGCCCCTAAATTGGCTTGAAATTGTATGGGCGCAAAACAGAAAAGATCCCCTGGGCCAACCGCAATGAGTTACTCACAACATTGGGGGGAGAACAATGGGTGGGAGGCATAGAGAGCGGACCCGAAGACGCGAACTACTGGGCACGGGAAGACTAGAAATACTGGGCACGGGAGAACAATGGGTGGGTGGAGCGGCAGCGAGAGTAGAAAGGTCGGAGTCCCGGGACGATTGAGTCAGTTGTCTACAACCTCCGGGCCGTCACGACCCACTCCCTACCTGCCGTCCTGCCTCTTTAAGCCGCTCACAGCATCCGTGTGATGCCAGCGAGTGCTGCTGCGAGACAGTAATTAGGCAAGTCTTCTCTCGTCCTTCTTCCTCCGACTTTCTCAGCGTCCGTGGGACGCCGCGAGTCCAGTTTCAAAGTACGTGGTAGGACGTTTGAGTAGCTGGGTTCAAAGGCAGAGTTACGCTAGGCTCCCCTCGCGAAATATTTCTCCTCTGGGTATTGCATATTGGCGCTATTAATAAACTCTAGTTCAGAATATTGGTGTACTGTAGTGTGATTTCCGTGTGTGTGAGCAGAACCTCGGCGGAGCGTCTGCGATCTGTGTGTGGCGTGTCTGTGTGGAGAGACGGTGTGCCCGGCGTGAGCACGAGCGCAGGGCTGCAGCATGGGGGTGGTGTGAGTGATTTGAGCGTGCACATGAGGGGCGTGTATTGCAGCACACAGAGCCGCCGTCGTTTGCGCGTGCTTGCTCTCGCGTGCGCGTTTACACAGCGCGCTTTACGCAGCGCGTTGACACAGTAGAAATAGCGTTAACGGTGAGGCGTGCCCCATAGTCCTATTCCCCGCCGCCGTTCCTTTTCCGCTAGCAGTAGCCTCTGTTTGCACAGCGGATAAAGCTTATTTTCCCGGGGGAAGGGGAGGCATATTTATACCGCCGCCGTTTCTGTTGATTAGCGCTCGGCGTGTGCGGGATAACCTCGGCAGTGGTAAGCCAGCCGTTCAGATATGTCCCTCAGAGAGGGCGCTGGCGCGGGGGGTGGGACGAGAGGTGGCTATACTGGAGGAGGGGGTAGTGGAGGGGGTGGACGTCGCGCCCCGCACGCTCACGGGGAGCGTGGAGGTGGACGTCGGCCCCCACACGACTATATTTGATGCTATGTATTTTTTGGAAGTACATTTTTTTACGTTTAACAATGTTTGTTGGCATTCATGGTTAATTGTTGGAATGCATTAAAAACAAATTCTTAAAATATTTTACTTATCTGTCCATTCCGGGCCCCCTTTGTGGCCGACTGGGCTACAATGCGCCGCATACGCTGCATACCCCCATAGTTGCACCCCTGCATGGCCCGATTCCTTCCTATTGTGTCTGCATCATCCGTGACTTCTCTCAAAAGTCAATGTGTGATGGCTACCTATTAGCCGCATTGTTTTTGCGGCTTAGAGGAGTCGCTCGGCAAATAACTCACGTTACGGGTTTTGAAAAAGGAGTAAAGGATCCCTCCACCTCATAAAACGTAACCTTTCGCCTCCTCATCCTCACTTGCTTTATCATAAAACATTTTTATTTAATGTATACATATTTATACTCTCTGGTCCGTCGTATTAATCGCCTCTATATTGGACCGCGGAGTCAAGCCTCGTCGGCGTGGCTTATCATGGGGCTCGCCATGATTCCTTTCTGGACTGCGTCAGCCCTACCCCCGCGAATTGCGGAGACAATGAGCAGATTAGGGGGGTTTCTCTTTTCGCTACCGAGCACTTATAAATGTCGTTGTTTAGAGGAACAATTTTTAAACACGGGCATTTTGTCAATCTACTGCTGGATGAAGGGCTCGCATTGACTTCCGAACCTCTAATTCACCATCAACATTATCAGCAAGGGTCTATGCACTTCTGGATGAAGGCCTCCCCAAGCGTTCACTAAAATTGTCAAGGCCACCACCAACATCAGTGGCTTTTGACAAAGCCCATGGGGCTGCTGCCCTTCACGAGATTGGCACGTTTTTCAGAACCACACGGAGTTGGCACAGGAGCTCTGCCGAGCGGGGAGGCAGGCAGTGCCACTGCACGCACGCGAACTGTGGGCTCCCCCCTCGGTGCCCCGAATCACCCTCGCCATTCAGCGTCAGGGACTCCCCACGCTCTCTCAACCAAGGCGAAGTTCCCGTGCGTGCGTTTCGCACTGCAGACACAAAGACCGCAACACATGGCGCTGGAGGTGGGCAGTAAAGTGGGCGTGGCACTCGTTGACACAGAGTGGCGATCTGTGCCGCTCGGCCAGGGAGCCGAGTTCCAACAGTGGGGCCACCTCCCCATCCACGGAGAACACCCTATGAAGAGCACAGAGCTGAGGTTCCACAGCTGTGCATCTCCAGCATCGCGTGTACCGCCTCCACCACCTCCGGGAGGGCCGAGAGCCACAGGTGTTCGGCTACCTCAGCCATTACTCTGGGAGTTTACTCTATGAAGACCCCTTGCTGTGGCGCTGGCCTTTAGGTTGGGCTCCTGTTCAAGAAAAGTCTTCCCCTGGCTGGTGTAGATGCTTCTACTTAGCTGTCTGGAACTGGTAGAGCGGACTGCTGCTGGTCTCCCACCCAGCACCTCTGCTCCCAAATTATGATAATTGTCTTCTTCCTCCCATCTAAAATATTCAAAAATGTCATATTGTTCGTTCCATGTCTCTACCTGTCACCCCTAACTTAAAGATTACTTGTAGACGTGTCTTTCTACATGTCATAAAACGCAATTTAGGACAGCATTGTCAAGTTACGTGAAATAAAATAAACCTCTAAAGTTCGAGTCCGGAGTCACTACAACTGGTGTCAGAAGTGGCAATAATTAAATGTTAAGATAGGGCAGAAGAAAAAACCCACCGGGTGTAACTTCGGATGAAGGAGAGGAAATTGAAGAAGCCCCCCTTCAAGCAGCCCTGGGAATAAGGATCCCGATCAACGAAACCCTGGAACGATCGGGAGCCAGATGCCAGCAACCACAGCCACAAGCTACGGAGGGGTGGCAGGAGGTTACAGCACGGCTCGACCTGCTCCTCACAGCCGTCGCACACCTCTCACTGCAGCTGGCCGCGACGGCGGCGAGCAGGGGAGCCGTGGAGAGCGCTGGACGAGGCGCGACTGAAGAGCCCACGCGATCGCCAGCCACGACGCTGGCTGCGGAGGAGCGACTGCGATCACCGACCACAAATGCCGCTGCAATGGCGGCGTATGCGACGTAGGAAGCGGCCGCCATTTCTGCTGCGACGTAGGAACCGACGGTAATTTTTTCTGCGACCGACGTGATGCAGCAACTGGCTGCCATTACTCCCACAGCTGACGTGACTAGGCAACTGGCCGCCATGGCAACAGCGTCCTGGGGAGCGACCGAGCCGGCTCCGAGGACGCAAGAAAGATCGTCAAATCGGCCACGATGGCTGCCCCCCCCTCAAAGAATTCGTCGCTGCGGGCGGGGACTGGGCTGCTTTTACTCGCCATTTTGACTCGGCCTAACAGTCCCTTGGGTTGACGGAATAAGAGGCTCTGCGGTTCCTGCCAACGGCCCTGGACGACGATGCTCTTGCGGCATTCTGAGCCATTCCAGTCGAGTCGAGGGCCACAATTCAATGGACCTACAGGGAGATGGCGGCCGTCTTTGAGACACCATCCAACACGTGGAAGAAGTTCCTGCAATGGAGGCGGGGGCAGGCTGAAAGGCCCCACGCTTACTACAGGGCTTTGATGGCACATGGGCAGGCGGTCTATCCGCGTATGGATCTGGCCGCACTGGACTCATT